TTTTTTTGGCCATTACAAACAATGTTGTTGATTTTATGCCCTGATATTCTTTCAAAAAAAGTATCTTTATTATTATTAAAAATTACCCATATTTTTTGAAAATTAAAATATGATAATTTATAATTGTAAAAATTTGAATAATTTCAGGTGGCTTTTCTTGAAACTTTGAAAATTTCTCTAAAAAGATCTCGTTCAGCTGAAGTTGCTATTGAATGTTGTGTTGATATATGTAAAGCTTCAACTTATGTATCTAGGAAAGATTCGTTGGCTTTACGTTTGATTGTACCAGAAATCGAGAATGATTTACGGGTATGTTTATAAAATAAAAATGAAGATAGAAAAACAAATTATATTCATTAATTATTGTTTTTTAAAAAAAGGAAAGACTTTTTGATCCTGTTAGAAGTTTGACATATGATAATCAATTTAATCAAAGCCTTATGACTGATTGTTTGACTGCATTATTCAAATTAAACAATACTACTTTAAGATCATTTATTCCAGTCTGTTTAAATGAAAATGCACCAAGTGTTTTCAAATTAGTATTGGTTAAAAGCTGTTATGCTATCGCTTCAGAGGTATTGTCATAATTTTTATGTTTAATTAACACTGTTCTCCTTTTTTTTAGAGTATTTCTCAGACTTTAAATAACTTAATAATTTTAAAAGGAAAATAAATTTCCTTGGAACCCGCAGCTTTTAACAATGTATCCTGTTCTTGCCACACCGCTTCGAAATTTATTTCATCAATATATTACCAGTCGTGATAGGTTAGATGTTAAGAAAAAGAAGCAAACAAGAGAAAGACCAGATGAAATTAATGAGAGAATGGAAATTATTTTAACAATTTTGAAATTATATAAATCTGATCCTTTGTTAGTACTTGTAGTAAGTTACAAAACTAATAATTCCCTCCGTGCTCTAAAATTAATTGATAAACACATTTTAAAACTTTTAATGATAAATCTATTATAATTTAGCATAGTGATGCAAATGAGAACCCTGATGAGATTCGAAGGGTCATTTATGGGATGACTTTATGTGTAAATGATCACAATCCTGTAATTCGCACCACTGCAGCTGAAACATTAATAAAGCTACACGATTTAAAATATATTGAACAATGGAGTTCAAATGATAAAAGGATGCGTAGTTTTTGGGTTATTAGGTACAGTAATTTTTGGTTTTGGTTTTATTTTTTTTTTAAAAAAAAAAAAACTTTAATATTTGATTGAGCATTCATTTTCTTTAGTTCACAAGTTATGTTAGCTATTGCTAGACAAACATTGGAATATAAAGAATCCGAAGAGAGTACAAAATATTTGCTTGGTCTTTTACTTCAATTATTTAAACGACATAATGAATTTTTAAAAGCTCATAAGGTATTTTTTATATTATATCATATTTTTAATGTTTTGACATCATTGATTAAAATGCCTTTTTTT